CTCTAAGTCTTCCTACCAATATGACCAAGCTGCGAAAACAAGGTCAAACAACCTATAATAGTTTCTTTCTCAAAACATCATTTTTCGAAGCTCTTATTTATTAAACTTATGCTTAAGATCTCATTTTATAATCACAGGGCTAGGAAGAATAAGACCCACTCGAGATATTTCACTTTATTCAGATGTCAATAGAAATTCAAAAATAACACTGATTTTAATGCAATCATCTGCTAGATTTATCTTTACTTAGCCTCATTCAGGATCAGTCTTTAATTGCTCTGTGTATTTTGATCTTATGTTTCTGTCAGCCAACATGCTGTCTGTATCTTATATGCGAACGTTAGATATCTAAACTAGAGGATGCATATGCAGGCATACAATGAAATAAACAATTTTTATTTATTGAATACGAACCTGAATTTTGTCCGCATAGTTTATTGGCATATCAATAGAATCATCAGCCCGAATTAACTAAGATGCAAACTTGCGAAGAGTAACTACTATGCTATCGGTTGCTCTTTTTTTACGGTTACATTTAATCGAGGTTATTAAGACCAAGATTGTTGGCCTATATTTCGTTTGCGGTCTAGTTGATGTGTCTGGCTTGATATCTTTTTCGTTGCCTATTCCTTATCAGGGCAACCTAGATGAACGCACTTTGTCCGGAGCCCCTTGATATAGTAGTAATCGTTATTTCCAGCATCCTACCATCGAACTTGGTTGATTCTCAGATGTTTCTCTGTCCTATTCGGTATGTCGATGAGCCTTACTAACCATGGTACAAAAGTATAACTCTTTAAAGATACAAGTGAAGTGCATCCCTTGATAAATTTTCTGTCATACATTTACCTATCTCATATCTTCGTATTCTTCTTCATTATCACAAGTTCTAACTTGGGTGTCTCCACTTACTTTAGTGTGGTGCCCTTTTGAGTGGATTTGATGAGGTCTAATCACATTTTCCGCTGGTCTCCTTTTCCTCCCCTGTAAATTTTGACATAGGTTAGTCCTTTCATTGTGTAATCTACTTGATTCATATCATAATAGAATCGCTCTCGTACCCTCGATGATTTGCCTCATCTCCCTGATTCATTGCTTTTACTCGTCTACCCGTACTGTATCTGTGCTATTCCTCCTGACCTGCTTCAAGCACTTGATAGCACGTTTACTGTTGCCTGACCGAGCAGTCCCCCTAAGTCTAGATTCTCAATCTGTATAAAGCACTAACTTAACTCTTTATTATCTTATATTCAAGTTCGGCCTGTGCGCCAGGTAAATCTCTTATTCAGGACTGCTTTACGGACCTCAAGGATCCAATTCGCGTGCTGAGAGCCAGCTACCTCTAGTCTCTGCCGCCTCTCAACTGGAGTCCTGATCGAATGAGATATACATAATGATGAATCTTAATTTATCTAAGGTATGAAGACCAAGATGGTGTGGCCTTTTGTGTGGTCGCAGTCTTCTTTCGTTGTATATAAATTGTTTGACCTTGTTTACGCAACATGGTCATATTGGTAGGAAGACTTAGAGGTACGCACT